GTTGTCCAATCATATAATGAATTTATTTACAATTATATATTAGCTAGCCGAATATGACCCGGCGCCTAAATGCTTTTATTCAAATACTATTCTTACAATTATAAATTGGCGCCGTGGATGTCATTCTTGTGAAACGTCCCGCTCCAAACTTTGTGTCTGAGAAGCGATATTTTTATAAAGAGATGATCTGGCTTTGTGTCTTCTGCTTGAATGAATGTTTTTCTGTTAGAATTTTGTTCCTGCATACTAAAAATGAACTGGCTTCACCCGTGGTCTCTGCTTTTTGGAATTTTTCCGGATATAATTTTGTATCTGAGAATCAAATATGATACAGCAATATTGTCATAATCATTTTCTGACTAAAAAAAAAAACAACTATTTTTGCCCAGAACCTGTCAATTTCAATTTTTCTTGGCTAAAAATGCGAAAAATATCTCTTCCATATTTTTTTCTATGTCCTGTTAAAACACGTTTTACATGTACATTAGGTCAGCTGATATTACCTCCCATCTTCACCGCTAGAGGCGCTGCTTGCGAACGAAAGAGTAAATTTGCAACTCAAATTTGCAAATAACTCGAAGAATATTCGGGATAGAGACCTGAAATATTCAATATAAGTTTTTCCAGATTCTACTATACATACTGCTAAAATTTCAGTCATATTAGTTACTATTTTACGTAAAAGCATTCCATTCACAAAAGCAAACGATGACAGAATTGATACCTCTGATACTTGTATATTTTAATAATAATAATATAAATGAGTTTTAAAAATTGTTAAAAAAAATGCATCGCCGAAGCCGGGATTCGAACCTGGGCCGCCCGCGTGGCAGGCGAGCATTCTCGCCACTGAACCACCGATGCTTATAAGAAATGGCCATATTTGGGTATTTATTTCATTCACAAAATCAAACGGTGACAGAATTGATTGATTGTTGATTATGACTCTGATACTTGTATATCTATATATATAAAAATGAATGTTTGTATGTTTGTTGGTCTGTTGGTATGTCCGGTATACAAATTCGCAGTAGTTCACTAATTCAAACCAAAATTTCCATACATAGGTAAAAAATAACGGGGATGACGATAGGCTATTTTAAAAAATATATAAATCAATTATTAAAACTATATATTCAAATTATTCAACTTAGCTCACGAGCAGCGCCCTCTTGACGGCGGGGGACGCCCATTGGCTGCCGGCGCAGCACGTGACTTCCCTGCCCCCTGCCCCCCCCCCCCGCCGAGTAACTGCCGGCCGGTTAGCCACTTCATGTTCCTACCGCGCGCGGTCCTGGCGTTGGTGACACAGCTGTGCCAAAAAAGCCTCGCGGGTGACCTCCGGGAACTACGTCCATCTTCCATATGTAAAATACATTTAATCGTGTAAACCCGGGCGTTGCCCGGGTCATTCGTCTAGTTTTATAATAATTAAATTGGAAACAATGAGGTGTGTATATATATACTCTGATAAATATCTATCTACTTATATAATTGCCTTATTCTGTCTGTGTGAAGTTCACTGTGTGAAGTTCACGGATAGATTTTGGTCATCAACGCGCGCATCATCATTATCTAATGATAATTATTTATTATCTACTTATATAATTGCCTTATTCTGTTCTGTGTGAAGTTCACTGTGTGAAGTTCACGGATAGATTTTGGTCAGAATGGATAAAATAAAAAAAAGTGTCAAGGGATGGGAATCGAACCCACGACCTTCCGCTTACCGGGCAGATGCCATGACCACTAGGCTATAGGCTCATTATTTATTTATACCGTTATTATACCGTTATATTATATATAATTAAAACATTTTAAAGACACACAGTTTGGAACGGGACGTTTCACAAGAGTGACATCTGTTGTTCATGTTGTTCTTGTGTCTATTTGATCACGCAGAATGCAACTGAACTAAGTATTTATTTATTAACATCTATTTATTATAACGTGGTTATATACAAGTCCATATCTCAGAAGAAGGCCAAGTGATACTCACTCCTCACTTTCTTACTGCTACTCTTTTTGTGTTGATTTCTTGCTTCCCTCTTTCTTATTATTATTTTTTTTTTTTTTCCTTTTCTTGTTTTTTTTTTTTTCTTTCTCTTTTTACTCTGTATATATCGCTATTTCCGTTGTCTCACTGCTTTGTTCTTATGCATACCTCTGGTGAATCCTGTATAGGGTCAGTGACCCTAAATAAAGGCTTTTTTGTTGTTGTTGTTGTAAACGTGGTTATATATCTAAGAGTGTTTACAAGTCGAGTCGGCAGTGTTGCCGGATCAATCATAACATGTTTCCTTTAAACAAAAATAAAAAAGGATTGCAGTTCTCCTAGTCTCTATAACGCAAAGGTTTTCTCACTGTTCTACCACTGCGGGTTCGCACACTAGGAGAAGTAGATGATTCTTCACCTTTCTTGGCAATGTCCTCCCTTGGATCATATGCTCTTCTGTTTTCGGAAGTGGGTCTTCCGTGATCTTGTATGTTGTCATCCATGGCTGTCCCTGCTTGAGATCCAGGAATGCTTGGACTTTGACTTGTTGGGGCAGAATCTTCTACACTGAACTTTCTCGGTCTAAGGTGAGACCTGTTCCTGCGGTATTCAGATCCACTTGGTGTTTTCACCATATATGAGCGTGGAGTTTCATGCTTTGCGGTCACTGTTGCCGGAACCCATTTTCTATGCCTTTCCTGCAACATGATGTTGTCTCCTACTTCCAAAGGTCTCAAAATTCTCTTTGGACTTCCTGCATACTTTTGTTGATGGTCTCTCAATTTTTGGTAATTCTTTGTTGTGTCAAACAGTGGTTTCAACTGTTGTCGGGTGTATGTCGAAAGAGTTCTCACAGATCTTCCCATAAGCATTTGGGTCGGAGATGGCAAGTCATACTTAGGTGTGTTGTTGAACTCCATCAAAGCCAGATTGGGATCTCTTCCTGACTTCACAGCTTTAATTATCAGTCCTTTGATGGTTTGAATTGTCCTCTCAACTTGTCCATTAGATCTTGGATATTTGGGACTGGAGGTTTGGTGTTTGAATTCATATTTCTGAGCAAAATTTTTGAATCCAGTAGAGTTAAAAGGGGGTCCATTATCCGAAACTAGAGTTCTTGGAATTCCATGAGTCCTGAAAATGGTTTTCAACTGCATGATGGTTTCGGTTTCTCTTTTGCTTGATAATTTCCGGATTTCAACAGGAATTTGCATGGACCCCAGGGAACTGAACAAATATGTTCAGAGAGAGCGCTATATTCTGCCAACAGCTGAAACAATATTTTCTGAACTGAAAGGTGCTACAGTTTTCTCTGTATTTGATGCATCATCAGCTTTCTGGCAAGTCCCATTAGACAAAGAAAGCACCAACCTGTGCACCATTGCGACTCCCTTTGGAAGATTCCGGTTCAAGCGACTTCCCTATGGATTGAACAGTGCATCGGAGGTATTCCAGCGATGCATAAACAATATCCTTCCAGGTCTCCAGGGAACTGCTTGCTATATGGATGACATCTTGATCTATGGAAACACAATGGAAGAGCACAACCAAAACCTTGAAACAGTTCTTCGAAGGTTGGAAGAAAATAATGTCAAGCTCAATGCTAAGAAGCAGCAGATAGCTGTCGACAAAGTAAATTTCTTAGGCCATATAATCAGTCGAGATGGAATAGCCATTCAAGCTTCAAGAGCAGAGGCAATACAAAAGTTGAAAAGACCTGAGAACAAGACTGAAGTCCAAAGATTCTTAGGTATGGTAACGTACCTTGGCAAATTCATTCCTAATCTGTCTGACAAGACTGCACCTCTAAGGAAATTGATAAGCAACAAGAGTGAATGGAAATTTGGAGGCGAAGAAAATGACTGTTTTGAAAAACTCAAGAATATGGTTTCGAATGCTCCAATATTGACATTTTTTGACCCAACCAAGCCAATCACCATTTCATCTGATGCAAGCCAATATGGTATTGGTACAGTGCTCATGCAAGGGGGACAAGCAATTGAGTATGCGTCCTTCAGCCGGAATGCAACTCAAAGAAAATACGCACAGATAGAGAAAGAACTTTTGGCTATAGTCTTTGGATGTGAACGCTTCCAGTACTATATTTGGGGAAATGATGTTATTGTGGAAACTGACCACAAACCTCTCCTGAGTATTGTTAAGAAACCTTTAGAAAAGCTTTCCCCAAGACTGCAAAGAATGGTCTTACGTCTCATGAGATTTCAAATATCTTTGAAGTTTACACCAGGGAAAAACATGTTTGTAGCTGACCATCTGTCTAGAGATCCATTAAAAGATGAGGTGGACACAAGCTATTTAGAAGGTCAAACTGAATCAGTGCACATGTTGCTGGTTACCACAGATGAAAAAATAAAGAGACTACAAAAGGAAACTCATGGGGACCACACCTTGATACAACTAATAGAGTATGCGAAGAATGGATGGCCGAAATATAAAACTATGGTCTGTGATGAGGCAAAACCCTACTGGCAATTTCAAGATGAAATTCATGTGAGTGACGGAATTGTTTACAAAGGAAATTGCATCATGGTGCCATCGACTCTTCGAAAAGAAATCCTGCAGGTTGTTCATTCATCACACCAGGGCATAGCAGCTTCCAAAGAAAAAGCAAGATCAGCATTTTACTGGCCAGGCATGATAACACAAGTAGAAAATGAAGTGGAAAAGTGCAGAACATGTCAGGAATATTCAAGAAAGAATCCTGAGGAGTCAAGAATAGCTCATGAAATCCCTGAATTTCCATGGGAAAAAATTGCTGTAGATTTCATGGAGGTGAGTGGAACCAGTTCCATCTTGGTTGTCGATTACCACTCAAAGTTTGTTTATTACAAGATCGAAATTTTCTGCTTCATCTTCTTTTAAATGAAATGTGTTGAAAACTTCCAAGGCTTCTTCGCCAATAAAATTTAATAAAATGGCAACTTTCAGTTTATCAGGCTTTGTGGCTTTTTCTGTTGCTTCAAGATAAAGCATTAATCGCTGTTTGAACCTTCGCCAATTTTCCGCTACATTTCCGTGCAGGGCGAGTTCGCTAGGCCTAACAAAGTCCATGTTTTCTTTTTTTCACTAATATTTTTCAATAATATATTTATTTGAAAAAGTACTCACTTTTCCGCTGCCACCAGTTTATAATTGTAACGAATAGTATTTGAATTAAAACGTTTTTAAAATATATACGCACTCGGGTAAAATCCGGGCGTTGCCGGCCATTCGTCTAGTATTATATAATGTTTTTTTTCCATTAATATTAATTATAATTAAGGTTAAAAGTAAAATATTAAAAATGTGGATGATATAGCCTTCATGAATAAAAAGATTAAAATAAAGCTAGCAAAATCTGAGACAAGTAAAATAAGCAAATCAAATTTTAAAAAGGGGTCATACATTATCTACATAATGTTAAAAATATAAATAAATTTATTAGGGTGGAGAACCTGGGGTAAAAGCTGCATCAATTCATCAAGTTAAATCATTTATATAAAAAAAATTAATTAATTCTTCTATATGAAAAAAGAAGAAAGATTTGATCCATTAAAAAATATAATATTTTGACCTAAAATGTTTAATTTTGATTAGGATATAGGGTTAGGTCTAAAAGAGTAGCTATCTTAATTTTGACCCTACAATATGTAAATTAGCCATACAATTATAGGAACTAAATTCAATATTTTAATAGAAGAAAATGATGATAAAATATTAATGAATCCCTATCTCTCACCATTGCTAATACTTCTATCTGTGACATAAATAAAATAGAAATTTAAGTTTGTTCAGTGTGGTTATTCAGAACATATGCAAATTATCCTAATAGCAAACTAATTCAGTATATTTTGGAATCTACACAAAA